CCCCAAGCCTCACTGGACGGCCAGTGTAGCTGAATGGGTGAACCCTAGGTCCAAATGACCTATCTCAAAAGCAACATGGACAGCTGCCAAGTATGGGACACACATGCACACAAACATCAACATGACACACATCTGTACAATACACACAAGTAAATAAGTAGATAAATGTATACGAAAGTCCAGAATGAGAGCGATGCACTGTATCTTTTCCTTTCTTCTGTAGTTGTGTCTGTGTTTGTGCATTTATTTATTTATTTATTTATTTTCTGGTTAAAAAACCCACATGAGCTGGGTGGCAGTGGAGCACAACTTTGATCCCAGTACTTGGGAGGCAGAGGCAGGTGGATCTCTGAGTTTGAGGCCAGGCTGGTCTACAGAGTGAGTTCCAGGACAGCCTGGGCTGTTACACAGAAAACTATGTCTCGAGAAAAAACAAACAAACAAACAAACAAAAATCCAACAACAAAAAACCCCAAACAAACCCACATGATACTTTAAAAAGGCATTAAGTTTAGTCATCTAACACTTTCCTTATAATAAGGACTGCTTTAGCGACTCCTACTGCGTAACTCCCCTCTCTGACTTCAAACATGTTTAACTGTAGTACACGGTGTATCATCTTAAGCATTTTTCAGTGCAGCTGGTGTGACCACACCTACAACACTGTGCAGCTCAGATCCAGAGTGTCCTTTTTTTGCCCATCTGAAACTTTAACCCTGATCACACACCCCATTTCCCTCTCTGCTTGGCTACCAGCAATCACTCTTTCTGTGCTTCGGAACACGCCACTCTATAACCATTTAACACATGTGGAGTCACAAGGCATCCATCTTTGTGGTTGGGTATTTCATTTAGCATAATGTCTTTTGGGTTTGATCACTGGTGTAGTGTGTACCAGACTTCCCTTCTTCAAGAGGGAGACCTAACACACTGTCAGGCTGTACAGCACAGTGTCTGTCAGTCACCTGCTGATGAATATTTCGGATGCTTGCACCTTTTGAATGTGGTGACCAATGTGCTGTGAACATGTTAAATATGAGGCCCTTCACACAGTTCTTTTGGATAACTATCCAGAAGTAGACTGCCATCATAGATGAGTCTTTTGTGTTTAATTTCTTTCTTTCTTTCTTTCTTTCTTTCTTTCTTTCTTTCTTTCTTTCTTTCTGTTTTTTGAAACAGGGTTTATCTGTGTATTCCTGGCTCTCTTGGAACTCACTCTGTAGACCAGGCTGGCCTCAAACTCACAGAGATCCGCCTGCCTCTGCCTCCCAAGTGCTGGGATTAAAGGCGTGTGCCACCAATGCCCGGAGGAAACGGTTTAACTTTTATGTTGATGCTTTGGTGTTGTTATTTCCCCCAAATTACTGCCAAATCTAATGGCCTGAAACGTTTCTTGTGTTTCCTTCTGGCACTGTCAGCTTTTGCTCGTAGGACTTGGTCTTTATTCCACATTGAATTACTGATTACATATGATGCACGCTAAGGGTATACAAACTGTTCTTTCTTAGAAGCATATTAAAATCTGACAGCATGAAAGTAGTAGGATATCTCAGAGGGAAAGTGAACTACTTTAGATCATTAGCCTTCAGAGTGGACTACTGGCATGTGCACTCACTCCTGAACTGCAGGTAAAAGTAAGCACACGACATATTTACACAGGAGTAAGAGGGAATGAAAGGATCACATGCTTACACACAAACAGTTCTTGACACCGCATCACACCCAGTTCTTTCTAGTAAGTGTATCTGACTGGTGTAAATGTCTTTCAGGCTTAGCATCATGAGATAAAGTACACACTAACTTCCCAGTATCATCAAGCAAGCACATGCATTCTGCTTCTTATAAACCCTACAAACTACGTCATTCCCAGGAGAAAAGCAGCTGGCGTGGAGCAGGCCCTCGGCACAAGCTGTGGGCTCTTCTGAAACCTGGACTGGACTGGGCTATGTCACACCTTAGTTCTGACAAAACTTCAGAAACACTACCCAGGGTTTGAGTCATGGCTGAGTCATTGTGATCAAGTGAACAAACACCATACATAACCTCTTTGTACTTCTGTCTCCTCATACATAAACAACACTTTCATGCTATCAGATTCTAAATAAACTCATATTTTGAATGAAAGGATGCATTTAAAAGTTTTATACTCAGTGATTTTTAACAAGGGAGACAAGAGACATTGTTAAAAAAAGAAGTCTTCTAAATGATAACAATGTTGGGAAAACTGGACATTTAATTTTTCTAGCCCCCAAAATGTGACATGGATAGACAAGAAATTTAAGAAAGTACTTGCTTTATTTTACTTAGTACTTTACAATCAAGGAAGAATGCTTCGAAGAAAGAATGAATTTGGATAATACCACCCCAAAGAAAGATAACAATAAACCCACAAGGGAAACTATCTCCCCCCTACCTATCCTATAACACACTCCACAGTGGTAACAACCAGTTCATAGACTGATAAGGGTTTTTCTTTCCCAACTTCCAGAGATAAAGAGGCTGGCTAAGCATTGTTTCCGAAGGTTTATATGCCTCCACGGTAAGGAGAATTACGACATAAGCCATTACAATAGTTTTTATTGTAACTGCAGTAAAAACTTTAAAGCCAGCCAATAATCTTTTGATGTAATAACAATAATAAACAACACATGTGTGCACTGTGTTAGGCAGGTCTGCGCAATGGTATGCATTCTTTTCATGTTTTATGCAGTTGTCTATAGCAACACCACACAGTTATTTTCAGTGAAGGTGATGAAAGTCAGAGTCTGAAACACAGCACAGGAAAGAAGTCAATGGGCACACGAGCAGTGTGGAAGTGCATCTCGGTGCTCTACCGACATTTTTCAATAAAGTTTTACAGTCAGGCTCATAATAGGCTTAAATACAAATGTCCAGCTGGGTGTGGTGGCCCACGCCTTTGATCCCAGCGCTCAGGAGGCAAGAGCAGGTGGTTCTCTGAGTTCGAGGCCAGTCTGGTCAACATAGCGAGTTCCAGGATGGCCAGGAGTACACAGAGAAGACAATGTCTCAAAATAAAGCACCGAGGTCAAACTAGAATCCCAAAATTAGCATGAACTTTTCTTTTTGGAATATTTCTATGCATTCCCTTGGAAGAGGTATACTAGAAGGGATTAGTGAGCTCAAGAGACAATATTTATACTACTTCCCATTTGTATTATTTTTTATTTTGATGAACTACTGTCATAAAGTATTAATATAAAATCTAAGTAGCCCGGCTATTTTTTTCTCTTTTTCTGAGACAGTATTGTTGTGAAGTCCAACTCAGTCTTGAACTTACAGTCCCATCATGCCTCCTTGCTGGTGATTGATACAAACTTGACCCAAGCTAGAGTCATCTAAGAGGAGGGAACTATAATTAAGAAAAAAATGCCCCCTTAAGACCAGGCTGTAGAGAGGCCTATAGGGTATTTTCTTAGTTAGCAATTGATGTGGGAGGACCCAGCCCACTGTGGGAGGTGCCATCTCTGGGCTATTAGTCCTGGGTTCTATAAGAAACCAGAGTGAGCGTGTCATGGGGAGCAAGCCAGTAAGCAGAGCCCTCCATGGCATCTCATCAGCTCCTGCCTCCAGGTTCCTGTTCTGTGAGCCCATCCTTCAGTGATGGACTGCAATGTGGAAATGTAAGCCACATAAACCCTTTCCTCCCCAACTTGCTTTTGGCCATGGTGTTTATTACAACAACAGAAACCCTATCTAGGACTCTCCCCACCGCTAGGATGGGTGTCAGCACTGTGCCTGGCTTGTGTCTCTTTGTTCTGTGCTTCTGACCCTCCTGCCTCCAGTCCCCCAAGTGCTGGGATTACAGGCCTGTACTACTACACTGAAGGATCAAACTCAGGCTCTATGGATGCTAGGGGGGCACTCTTACCACTGAACAACAGCCCAGTCCTGAGTTGCCATTTCTAATGATATAAAAGTGAAATGTGTTTCATTTAATATGAGGCAGGATGAATTCATTTGCTTACTTCTGACTGAAGATGTGGAAAAAGTGCAAACCCACAGAGAGCTAGGGAACGGCAAGAAAGCAGTGTCACAGAATTCTCAGGTGACTGTGTCAGAAGTGAACGAGAGGGTCAAAAGGTCAGCTGCCGTGTGGAATCTGAAAGCTCATCAAAGGTCTTCTCATATACTGTGCTGAGCTAAAAGCACCGGTCCAGCTTGTACTTTAAATGGACTGCTTATCCACACCTGACTGCACATATCTGGCTGAGTTAGGAGCATATTCTAGTGATAACACATTTTACTGACCAGCAGAAAAATCACACTCATTAATACCTACAGTTCTCACAGAATAAAGCCTTACGTTTCAGGAAGCTGTACAACAGACACAAATCTTTAAAGACTTTTACCTGAAAATGCAATGGCAACAAACATTGTCAGCCATCTTCCCCAAAGTGGCAGGTTTACTTCATTCAATTTCAGGAAATACCTGCCAAGTCTCAATAATCATGGTCTGCCCTTCCAAGTCAAACGGTGGTTATAAAAGCACTAAGCCACGGCAGTTCCCAACTACAAGTACAGCAGGCTCCCGGAAGATGAGGGTGCACACAAGGGCTCTGCTCAGGGCCGTTTGCCCACACAGCAGCAGCATGTGAATCTCAAGACTAGGTTTAGAAAGTATAATAAATAAAGTGCTGCCTGGGGTGAAACCAGACATCCAGCTCTGTGTGAACAGTAAGGGAGAGGCAGTGATAATACAGTGATTGCTGGCAGAGCATGGCTGTCCGTCTCTGCCCTGGCTCACACCAAGGGACCAGTGGTTTGTGCCTCTGCAGGTGTTAGTCTGTCACTGCAAATGTCCGTCAGTTATAAAAAACATCCTTTTCGCACTGTTATGAAAAGAACTGCTATCATGGCTCCCAAAGGATCTCAGAGACTCTTGGGAATCCATGGGCCACACTTGCCAGGACAGGCTCCACCGCTTCTACAGAATACAATTACAAAAGAATCTATGCAACACTGCAAAAGATACCTCTTACCTTTGCCAAGGCTAAACACAAATGGCTCATTTCTATCACGACTGGAATCGAACTTCTTTCCATTTGACAATTTTCCTTTGTAGTGGACATAAACTTTGTCACCAATCATCGGGGTTTCCTCACTAGTCCCCACTCTTTTGACAATCTAGAAAATACAAACATAATCGGGAGAGGGGATTCAAACCTTTTTACTTATAAAAGAATTAAAGGGCTACACAGGCACCCATGACACCCAGACAGATTTGCAAATTCATTCCAGTGTCTCAGGAAACTCTCTTCCTAACCCTTCATGTTACATTCTACTGCTTCCTGCAACATTCGATCAAGATAATCAGGCAGGAGAATCACTGCAGGAGGCAGCCTGGTCTACACGGTGAGCCCTGGGCCAGCTAGCATGTATTGTGAAACCCTATCTCAGACAAAACAGAGTTAACCAGTGAAGCTCAGCTGGCTGCTTTAAGGCCCCATACTCACATGCTAAAACCTCCCAATAGACGTAGGAGCAGGCTGAAAGTACACAAATTGAACTAGGCCAAAGAGTGCAGAACGTCTTAAACAGCCACAAAGGTGGCCACCGAAGAGCTTCAAAGATGTGGTGTATTTACTTACCTCCTTTGCTAAAGATAGTTTATGACTCTACTCTGCCATTCACCCTGATGTAACAGGTTACACTTCCATTATTTGAATAACCTGTAAAATCTAGACTTGGATGATACCAAGTAACTTGTTTTCTAGCAAAGGAAAAAAAAAAAAAAAGAGTAACTACAAAGTGAAAAATATTTAGTCATTGTAAAAACCAGAATATTTCTTTTATTCTTGGCAGAGTAAACTGCTAGTGCAGTTGGTCAATTCTTGGAAAAGAAAATTCAATCCAGGCATGTGGTGGTGCAATTCAGCCTGTCAATCACCTGTGCCAAAGGGGCCATTTTCAACCGTTCCTAAGATAGCAGTTACCATCTGATAACATCCTCTTTGGGGAGAGTTTGATTTTCACATGAATAGTTACTTGCTTTTCAACTCTTGGAGATGTGGCTCTGCACCCCCACCTCCCATAAACACTAAACACCACGAACTTAGATTCCTCAACTTTTTTGACTCAAACACCCTTTTTTGAGACAGTTTCTCTGTGTAGCCCTAGCTGTCTTGGAACTCGCCTAGTAGACCAGGCTGTCTTGGAACCCACAGAGATTCCCCTGTCTATGTTTTCTAAATGGTGGGATTACAGGTGTGCACCAACACTGCCTGGGAGGCCCAAATATTCTGCAAAGGAAAAAAGGCAATAATGTTCTTCTTGGTCTTTTTTCTCTCTCTCTGGTTTTTTGAGGCAGGGTTTCTCTGTGTTGCCCTGGCTGCCCAGGAACTCGCTCTGGAGACCAGGCTGGCCTAGAACTCACAGAGATCCTCCTGCCTCTGCCTCCCGAGCGCCGAGATTAATGTATGCAGTACATTGTGTATGTATGAACCACATGGCTTCTTCCAGGCTTAAAAGAAAAAATTTAAAAAGTAAAAAAATTTAAAAAGTAAACTAAAAAAAACTACATGAAATCCTCAAGGGTCTCTGATCCCTAACCTTCATGAGACACTAGGGCCCAGTGGCAGTCACCAGTAGGATTTGTACTTTAGGACAATTAATGATGCCCAGGCATGTGGGATGGGATTGTGGTAGTCAGATGGCCATCTGCAATAGAAACAGGCATCACTCTGGAGTGGGGGTGGGCTGTGTGTGTATGTTCTTGTGTGTGTGTCTGTCTGTCCGTCTCCCCAGCAAGACGAAACTTGTGATAAAGTCTTAGGTTGTCTTAAAGATAAAAATCTAATCAATTAATTTAAAAAATGTAAACCAAGCTTTTATTTTTCTTGATTAATATTATTATGAATTTTACAAACAAGAAACCCCCCGGGGAGGTTGACAAATGTTCCAGGTCACAGTTGCCAGACCCACTGAATCGTCACCCAAAGCCCCATGGTGACCAGGAGAATCTAGACAGTTAACAGATGTTATACTCACTGTTTTTAGATGTAGTCCTTAGAACAAAGGAGACTATAGTTTACTGTCTTTATTTAGGGGCTCTGAGTGGGCAAGGCAGCAATGTGCACTCCCAGCGGGGATGCTGTGGTCTGAAGAAAGTACGAATAGGATTTGTCCTCTCTAAAGCCTACACTGAAATCCGATTGCTACTGGGCCAGTGTTGGGGCACAAGGCCTTCAAGAAGGAAGTGGGTAGTTAGGAGGAATCAATGCCTTACTTGTGTGAGCTCCCCGTGGAGAGATTGGGTTCGTCACAGGAGTTATAAAAGGCTTGCCTGCTCCTCATTTTTGCCTCCTAGACTGCCTGCCTACCCGTTTCTACTGTGAACTCAGCCGTTGCTAGAAGCAAGGAGATGCAGGCATGCCATGTTCTTGGACTTCTCAGGCTATAGACCTGTGAGCCAAAATAAACTTCTCTTTTATGAATCACCCAGGATTCCGTTTCAGAATACACAGAATCTGCAGGACCTTGGAGGTCGGGTCTCTGAATGTGGCACACTGAAGACATGAGGTAGGAGATGCTGCGGACAGCCTGAAAAATCTCCAGTGTTTTGAGAAATTTCTTAGCACTTTGGATGAATAATTAAGAGGCTGAGAAGCCTCAGGAAGAAGACACCATGGACTGACAGCATAGAGCTGTCAGGCAACAGGAATCCATGGACGTTCAGAAGACCAGCACAGAAGTGAGGCTTCCCCATAAGCAAGAGAGGCAGGACCAAGTCAGCGGTGCCCACACAGGAACCGCTGAATTTTCACATGGCAGGAGAACATGCAAGATAAGCTCAGCAGAGACAAATTAACTACATAAAACGTGTGACAACAGTGTGGGACAATCGTGTGTTCAAATCATTTAACCTCCTAGTTTCAGCTTATTCACCTATAAAATGGAAGAATTTGACCTACTTGGTGGCACAGTCCTGTAATCCCAACTACTTAGGAGAAGACTAAGGCAGGACGATGGCAGGTTCAAGACCTGCCTGGGTTACAGTGTGAGTTCAAGACTAGCCTGGGCTACTTAGTGAGACCTTGTCTCAAAAATACAACCTTGGAAGTCAGGCGTTGGTGGCGCATGCCTTTAATCCCAGCACTTGGGAGGTAGAGGCAGGGGGATCTCTGAGTTTGAGGCCAGCCTGGTCTACAAGATCGAGTGCCAGGACAGGCTCCAAAGCTATACAGAGAAACCCTGTCTCGAAAAAGAAAAAACAAACAAACAAACAAAAAAAATACAACCTTGGTGATGCTCTTGTCTAAGTACCGTCCCCAGTCCCACCATCATTAAAAGTACACCATCCCATAACACTGTTGCAGAGATGCAAACTAAAACACTACGTGAAGAGGCTAAGGAGATAGCTCACAGGGGAAAGTGCATGCAGAGCAAGCAGAAGAACCCGGGATCAGATTCTCAGGGTCTATGTAAAAACCTCATCACGACAAACTATGTCTGCCACCCCAGTTCTGGGGGGCAGAGACAAGTGGATCCCAGAGGCTTGCTGGTTACACAGCCTTACCTAGACAGTGGCCTCCAGGATTGATGAGAGACCCTGTCTCACAGAAAAGTAAGGTGGAGAAGTGACTGAGGAAGATACCCTGACAGAGGGCAAGAATACATGCACACCATGCAACACACACACACACACACACACACACACACACACACACACACACACACACAGAGAGAGAGAGAGAGAGAGAGAGAGAGAGAGAGAAAGTATTTCTTGTGCTTTAAGTACATAGGAAAGACGGCCCAAATATATATTGCCTGTGCTCCTCCATCATGACATACAGAAAGAGTCCTTGTGTGTCTTTAGCACAATCACTGTGTACCTTCAGTGCACTAAAACAGTCTATTGAGAGCAATCCACACAAACACTCTGCACTATGCTTATGGAACCAAGCATAACCTGGGCTGTTCTGCGGGGCCTGAAATGTAAGTGACCAGGGTGGGTTACTTTACCCGGCCCAGCCTCAGCTGCATGGACAGCCCTCAATATGAAGACAGATGGGAATTGAGCTGTAGTGTTCACTACTTAGCCTTAGTTTAAAAATTACCAGCCACCCTTTCCCTCTACAAAAAAGTTTGGATAAACCCTGTCTTCCTTCCACACAGCAGATCTCCCTATGCTCTATACCTCTGTGGCCTCACCTTTAATACGCCTCTATCTTTTTTGGTAGTAATATCTTCTCCTTGTTCAACCACGGTGGCTGCGGGGTTTTCTCCATTGTTACTGGTGCCTTCATCAGTAGTCATTGTGTTTTATAAGTAGAAAACCTGCCAAAAGAAAGGTATTTTCTTCAGTGAAAATATCATTTCTTAATGCACCTGAAAAACCCCTGAGAACTGAGCTTACATAAGACTAATAGAGTTAAAACACCAGAAATAATAACAGAAGTATTTGCTGTGCTCATGTATTAATGTCATCGGACAGGTAAATAAAACAATCACCCAGTTCTTCAGTTTCCCATCTAGCCCTGGTCCTAGATTAGAGGGCAGTAGAACAAGCAATAGTGTACAAGTGGGGTCTGCTGGTAATTATATTCCTTAACTACACAGGGAGAAGCTGCCCTCTCAGAAGGTTAAAGCATCCTTCTACAGCCACGCTCTTTGGAGAGAACTAAGAGCTTTCCAGGTGCTCTGTTAAAGACAGGGAGTTACCAGTCAGGCATCAAAGAGGTAACAGATAAGAAACAGCAGAGAGCCATAGCTCAAGATGGCAAGCACCTGTCACCTGTGGACCTTCTGGGAGACTACACTTCCCACCACTCACTTCCAACAGCAACAGATTGAGGTTTTAGGGGCTGGGTGTGGTGGCTCATGCTTATAATCCCAGACCTCAGGAGGGAGACGCTGCAGGATTGCAAAATCAGGATCAATATTATATAATGAGTTCCAGGTTAGCCTGGGGTATGAGACACCACCTCAATTTAAAAGAAAACCAAAACAAAACCATTCCCCACACACAAAAAGGAGAGAACAAAGTCACTTTCCCACAGCACTCAAGGTATCTCTCACATATAATATGACACTAACCAGTCTTTCAGTTCCTACTTCTCTTCACACAGGTCCTTTCCCATACCCAGTCCAGGGCTTTCCCCCATCGTCACTCTGAGAGATCTTTTTTCTTCCCCCACATGCCAGCTCCAGTACCTGTGGGGGAGTCATTTGGCCCATTCTGTACCCTTCCTTAGCTCACCTCGATTGAATGTTGGTATTTATGAAGCATTCCTGGTAGATTAAAAGGGTCTGAGATCCCAGGTTATGATATATATAAATATGTTCATATTTATAGTCTTTAAAGGTAATACAGACCACAACTCTGAAGTTTTCCCTCTGTTCCTACTTCAGCTACTCTCAACAGTGTGGTTAGGATAAAAAAAATCTGCTTTCATAAGGAGATCTGAATTCAGTGGTATGATATGTATTTTTAAATATATGATTCACCCCCCCCCCTTCCCTGAGACGGGGTTTCTCTGTGTTAATAGCCTTGGCTGTCTAGAACTCCTGGAAATCTACCTGCCTCTGCCCCTGAATGCTGACAACTGACCACTTCTAAAGCTATCCCACATTAGGGTAAGAACAGACTCCCTGGGCCCTCGATTTACAGTCAAAACCAAATAAAACAACTTCTATACTGTGAAAACCCACTCTACTGCTAGAACTAATGACTAGACAACTAAAATATAGTGTTTTAACTCATTTCCAAACAAGCTAGTTAGGTTTTCTTCAGTCTGCGAAACTTGCTGTACTGAAAGATCTTCAAAGAGAACACCAAAATCCCAGGGCAAAGCCCCCATTCTTGATTTTCTAGCACAGTTTATACCAGAATAAAAGGTCCAAATGTTTGGCTCAGGGTAAGTGAAAGGCTAGAACAAACTGTTCTCAAACAAACAACGAAAGTTAAGTACCCAGTCTACATGATGCTGGACTAGATAATAAGGAAAATCAAACAAGCTTTTGGAAACCCAATGCTTGTGACATATTTTCTGACGCTTGGGAACTTGTGTGAAGCACCTAAATGGCAGACAGAGATGGCCTTTTAAGTTATCTGGAGGGAGCAGGTCATGGACTGTATCCATGGGAAGTATGTTTTGTAGGTTCTCCCAGATACATGGACCTCTATCAACAGAACAGATGATCAAAGCACTGGAGAAATTAAAACCACTTAGTGAAAATTTGTTGAGAAAGGGTCTCCAGCACAACCCCTGCCTACCTATCCGGAAAGGAAAGGAGAAAGGGCCTTCCCAACAAAGTGATAGAAAACTTAAATACATGATTTTAAAGGCTTGGTGGTGCACACCTTTAATCCCAACACTTGGGAGGCAGAGAACTCACAGAGGATCTCTGTGAGTTCGAGACCAACCTGGTCTACAAGAGCTAGTTCCAGGACAGCCTCCAAAGCCACAGAGAAACCCTGTCTCGAAACAAACAAACAAAAAACCAGGTGATGGCATCATAACCAAAATCTGAGTAGAGAAAAACTAACTGGCACTAATAGTTTCTGAATGCACAATGGCCCCAACCCATTCAAAAATAAATTCATAAGGAATCCAAGGTGTTCCAGCAGTGCTGGTCATGCCATGTCTAGTTCTGAGCACACACGTGCATTTGACTGTGCACGCCATCATACCAGTCAACACCAAACAATACTGCTTGCAACCCCTTGGCTCAGACTGGAGGCTATTGCCCTCGACCAACAGCAGTGTTTTTGCTGCACATACAAAATGTTCTGCTCTTACAGAAAAGCTGTGGTTTAGGGAAGTAATATTTTCCTACTGCCATTTCTCAGCATGTAATATCAAATTAGTCTTTGAGTTGGATTGCACTAAACAAATGAGTATGTCCATCTGCTGGTATGCATATTTGCTTTCATCTTTAATAAATCCAAAGATTGTTTTCAAATAAACTATTAATGACTTAACAATAAATGTTCGACTTGTGTATCTTTTTTTTTTTTCTTTTGGTTTTTCGAGACAGGGTTTCTCTGTGGCTTTGCCCTGGAACTAGCTCTTGTAGACCAGGCTGGTCTCAAACTCACAGAGATCCACCTGCCTCTGCCTCCCGAGTGCTGGGATTAAAGGCATGAGCCACCAATGCCCGGTGTGTATCTACTTTATATACCTGTATATCTGGGATTGCATAAGAATTTATGGGGCAAAAAAGGGGTCATGAGTGGGAACAGTTTAAGAAAACTGATCTAAGCAATATACTTTTAATAGGTGGCATGTGTCACAACCAAATCCTGTGGCAGCAACAATCAGATAAACCGCCTCACAGTAATGTAAGGGGAGGTATATATTACTTATGTACTATTTCTTCAAAAAATATTTAATTGGCCTGGCGGTGATGTGCACGCCTTTCATACCAACACTTGGGAGGCAGAGGCAGGTGGATCTCTGTGAGTTCAAGGCCAGCCTGGTCTATGAAGCTACACAGAGAAACCCTGTCTTGGAGGAAAAAAAATTAACTGGAAGGCTGGAGAGACAGCTATGTGATTGAGAGCACTAAGGACTGAGGTTCAATTCCTAGCACCTACACAGTGGCTCACAACCATCTGTAACTCAGTTCCAGCATATCTGAAACCCTCTTCTGGCCTCTATGGGCTCTGTATGCAGATGGGACCCAGACACACATGCAAGCAACACCTACACACATAAAACTAATTAATTAATTAATAAAAAAGAGAGAAAATGTTTTTTTTCCAGCCAGGTGCATGCTGGTGGTGGTAGCATACTCTGCCTGCAATACCAGCACTTGGGAGGTAGAGGCAGAAGCATCCAGGGCTAAGCATTAGCCTCAACTACATGAGACACTCAAAAAGAGATCAGCCCCAAATACACATAAGCAAACTATATGAACTCAGCAGGTTGTATTTATAAATGTATACACATTCGTAATAACAATTACAGATTTGAGAGGGGGGCATGGGAGGAATTAAAGGAAAAATGGTATAAGTGCAGTATTCATATATGAAATTCTCAAAAGAGAAATAATTAAGTTAAAAATAAATGATGAAGGAAAGAAAAATTTGGCTTGCTATTCAAATAAGCATCAAATCCCCACAAGCCAATTTGTTGGCTTTGCAAATGCCAACCTGACAAAGGAACTTACTCAACATTTAAGGGAATGTAGTACTGTAAATCTCGGGGAACGGCTTCTAACAGTATCGCTGAGTTCATATGAAGAGAATAACAGGAATCCTCAGAGCAAGAAAACAAACCCTTTTTCAGATTTCAAAGCCAGATAAATCTTAAAAGAATAAAGAAATAAATCAAATTTTCCAAATATTTCCCCTGAATTCCATTTAGGCCACTAGAAGTGTATGGTTCTGTAAGTAAACAAATCAAATAAACCTTTTACTTTATTGTGTTATATTTAAAAAAATAAAAGACAGGACAATTCTTAAAACCCTTTAAGGCAAACTGAAGAAGTTTCAATATTTTTCTAACAGAGTCTTGTGTTCTTTCTCCATCCTAGTTTTACTCTGGATTTAAAATCACTCTTACCTAATGCTATTATTAATTCATGATAAAGCTTATTGTACTGCACCAGCTAAAGGGGGAAATTGCTTCCCGGTGCACCAGAAAGGGAACACACAGTTCCTTCTGCTATGGACATGCCAGATAAGCACACTCTCTCCAAAGTGCTAGTCAGCAAACACCTGAGACAAAACATGACAATGAGCAGACAACCAGTATTTCATCATCTTGAGCTAACTAAGCAGATGGCCAGACCTCCCCAATGAGAAGCCATTGTGCGCTCTCCCCACGGCCCATGCCACGGTGACTACACCTGATCACCCCAAGTGTGGCAGGAAAGTTGGCAGAAAGACTGAAAAAAGGTGAGAGCGGGCTCCCTAGGTAGAATCCCTGAAAGCCATGGCGAGCGCTTCCAAGCTGCCTGAAGCCCCAGTGAGCAGAGTGGTACCCAGCTGTACCTTCTTTCTCCAGCCCCTGCAGGTCTCCCACCCTCACAGGTCACTTCAACTTGCTGACTCTCACCATCTCTGTCCTCTGCTTCCAAGTCTTGTTGGAGAGATGTCAGACCTTTCAGTCTTATCCTTCGGGCTTCTTACTAATGTTGCTAACACTGTCAAGCTTAGGATCACCCATAGAACTTTTAAGATGCTGTTGCTGCCTGGACCCCAGCCCCAGGGGCCGGGCTAAGGAACAGGGCACCAGGTGTAGGGCATGCTGCATGGTCTCAGCATACAGCCAGATGTGGCTGGGAGCCAGCACTTCTCATTTTCCAACACTGTCCTTTTTGCTGTGTTAGGAGAG